TTACCAGGGTGGATCTCGGTTGAGCTTCATGTTGTTGTAGAGCGCCCGGGGTGTGCTGGAGTAGGTGAAGGGCCCCTTGAGGCGCTGCTGTGGCCCCTCCACTAGCACCGAACGTAGCGATACGCTCATCGCAACAGGTAGGGGTCACAAATTCACCAAAAACCAAACAACACAATTTTCAACACACTGACATATGTCACGCATAAACCGTTTCGAAAATAGAACTGTCCATCCTCGCTGATCCTATTTCGACAATCCGTGTCATTGCTTTATTCCTATAGTGAAGTCACTGTCCTGTATTGTTGTTATTTTCGTGTTGTCTTTCGTTGTCATGGTGATCAATAAACAAACGTTTCCGGTCATCAAAGCTTACAAGTGCCCCATCAAATGATTACTTACATTGTGTAAATACTATTCACATCTATCGATATAAAAACATTTAAAAAAGAAAGGCATATTAATATTTTGTTGTACAAAGAAGTAGCATTATTGTCATTAACTAGTTTTTCGTAGAAAATAACTATATTTTTCAAAAAATAAAAAGCGCCATCTCTTATGAAAGTGTTAAACTAATCAATAGGGTGTACGTTTCACTCACTTCACGAATTAGATGACTAAATCAGTAAGCGTCTTTTACAATTAATTCCACAAGAGTTTACTAGATGGCAGTAAAATAAATCTGTTGTAAAACGCCTAAAATCTAAACTATATCATTTGACTTCATTCATTTCGACTTTTCGAATGCTTCGACTTTCATTTACTGAGCATCGCAGCAGAAATATTCATAGACTTAGTGATAAGCAGCGTCTATCTGCTGCTATCCACTTAACCAATTCTTGTAAAGACTGTGGTGTATTTTTATTGAAGCCGTTTCTTCGTAATCTTTCTTGATATCAGTGGTTAAAATATTAAATTGAATAAATTTATATATATATATAATTTAATTGAATAAGCGTTTTTTATTGACTTAGATTTGTTCTTTAAACTGTTAGCTTTTGCTGCGTGCCTGACAACCAATGGTATTATAAATACAAATATTATTAAACATAATTTGTGACAAGACGTCTGAACGCCTGACGTATTAGTCTAGTCCGTGACCATAAATTCTATAAAGCATTCGAAAATTAGGGTTTTTTTTTAATAAAAACAAACATCAATAAAATTCTTAAATAAGTTTCATAAAGGTGTGTAATTTTTCCGTAAATAAAAGAAGATATTTAATTCATAAATAAGTTTTTGTCAATAGGTAAGGTATGTTATTTTCAATAACGTTATTTACGGCCGGTTTCTGAAACACTGATCATCGTAGATATCAACTAATCAGCTGTCAAACTCTGTCTAACAAATATTTAAACTCTCTGAATTGCCGTGAATGATCTTCTTAATGTTAATGTTTCAAAGAGTTTATTGAATTGATCATTCTGACATGATCAATTCAAAGAGTTTAACCATCCTTTTGGCTACACAAATGAAATTTGAGAAACATTTGACAGTTGATTATTTGACATCTACAATGATCAGTGTTTCAGAAACCGGGCGTTAGTCTACTTCATTTTTCGTTCAACAAATTTGTCAATAGATGGCAGTGTCATATATTCATTATAAGAAGAAATTTTAAATGAAAGTTTATGAAAACATAAATTATTCTGCTGGTCTACTTTTTGCCAACAGCGGTATACAAAAATTTAAAAAAAATGTTAAATATTTTTAATAAATATTAAAAAAATAACAATTTTACGTCTTAGAAACATAGTTACGTCGTTTTATTGTAATTTTAAGTACATCATAATTAATTAAAGGTAAACACAACATGCGAGGTATATCAAGTAACATCAATAAACTTAACAATAAGAAAGGTGTATAGAATACAATATAAAAAAGATAGTAAAAAACGTATTTAAAAAAAAATTATTAAAAATCTACATGCTAGAATACGACTAATCTACTCACCGACACGAGCTTGAGCCTAATATTGAAGTGCGTAAAGGTGGGACTAACGGTTGTATTTGAGTTTTGGGTAGCCCTATATAAGTGTATCATCTATGGGGTAGCCTATGCGGTACATTGAATCTAAATTTACTTAAGAGGTTAGGACAATCTATTTTATTGTTAAATAATTTGTATAAAAAGATAAGATCAAGTACTGTTCTGCGATTTTCTAGAGAAGTATATTTAAAATTTTTCAGTCTATCTTTGTACGAAAACCCTTTCCTACATTGTTTAGAAGAATGGGCTAGATGCCAGAGATAAAATAATGACATGCATAGTGCGGTCTCCACACAATACTACAGTATTCCAGAATGCTCAGGACACAAGTGTTGTACAGTAGTATTTTTGTTTGAAACTTCCGGAATCCCCTAAATGGGCTCCAAAGGTTAACTTTGTATCAAGTATCACACCTAGATCTTTGATGTATTCAGCTTCTTGTATCCTTACTCCATTAATATAGTAACTAGATTTAATAATTTTGAATTTTATAGAGAATTTAATATAAAAACATTTACCCACGTTTAGTTGCATTCCGTTCAATTCACACCAGTGTGATAAGCCATTTAAATCTTCTTGTAATAATTTCAAATCGTCGGCATACAGGTATGGAACACAATGTGAGATATGTGACTTAGAAGATGTGAGATAGAGAGAACTACATTTATTCACAATGTGAATAAATGTAGTTCTATCATGAGAGGTAGAAGTGTTGACATACATTTCTTTTTTTTTTAAATTAAAATCTCTGCACCCGCAATTTCCATGAAGCCATGCTTTGTAATCCAATAATAGTTAATGGACTCTGGACAATCACTGGATTTCATATACCGTGATGAAGTGATCAATTTTAAGAACTGGCCACGATATAAACAACTGATTACAGACATAACAAAATTAAAAAAAAAAATATTAAAATGTATTTCGAAATTGTAATCATGGACATTTACCACAAAGTAGTCGGACTGAATTAGAATCATCATTACAAACGATTATCGTCGCTTATCAGTTTCTTATAGACACTCAATTTTCGAAAAATCCCTGACAAAACTAGCTGATAATATGAACCCAATCATTTAAAAAAATATGAAAGTCTTACATAATGTCAACAAACTTGCAAATAAAAAGAACATCAGAACACATATAATAGGGCAATAAATCTGTTCTGCCCTTTTTGGAACTACTCTACTATGACTTGACAAATCTCCGATGCTGCGTGTCCGATGCGTTCCCGATGAAGACGTCATAAAATAATGGCACCAGGGCTTTCCGCCGGATCATTCTCCCACGTAATTACCCCCGAAAGTGCAAGGAACATGCGCCTTTCGCCCAACGCTCCAAGGCGCATAATGCTATGCGCCCGGCAACCGGGGCCGTTGCAAATGCGCAGGACAGAATTGTCAAAGCGTACAGCAATAAATATAGTTGTTCGCGGAGCGGAGGAGCGCCTAGTTTAATGATCTGTGCGTAACGCCGCGTCGTCGCAGCGCGAGCGCCACTTCCGCCCGCCATTGCCGCTAAAAAGCGCGCGGGCCGTCGCGTGGCGCGCTTCCTGCGAGCGCTCGTTTTTTACGGGAGCGCTCAATGGCCGGGACGTTACGACGAGCCCTGATTAATGCTTTTGGATTTTTATACGTTGTTTGATTCACGATCTTTGATATATTATTTTAGATGATTTCTCCTACATTCACCCGAATATCTACACTTCGAAAATGTTTTTTTATTCAATGAGAAACTTATAAGCTGCAATGAGAAACTTATAATCTAGCATCATGTGGTTTTATTAATTAATATTTAATATGGAAATATTTCGATACGTTGTTTGATAAACTGCACCTTACTTTATGTTTCTGTTTATGATAATACTTGTTTTTTACAATAATCGTATAGTCAATGTAACATAACATTCTAAGCAGGGAATGGAAATTTGTTTGAAAAAAGTTGATACCGCACCATGCATATATTTGATTTGTTTGCTTCGGCCGGGGAGAATGTTATAAAGAACTGAGAGATTGCTCTGTAAAAGAATCAACACTGTTAGCCTAGTGAGTTTCCTGTCGTAAGGTTGATGCGAATGGATAAGTTAGCGCTGCGCAGCGGCTTCCGCGTCTGTCTTCCTGATTTATCGCCATTTTTTATGTGAGTCGCTCTGGGCCCTGGCATTGGGGGGCACGCACCGTCGCCCGCCCGGCTTCATATCCCATGATGCGTTCACGATGTGTTTGTACTTGCTTAAGTATTAGAAAAATATACCGATCGATAGCTCAGTGTCTATGTATCCGAGACCTTAGAGCGAAAGTCCCATGTCCTGGCCTTTACCTACAAAATGCACTCCAGGAATATGCATGTTGGTGCATTAGGAAAAATGATTTCTTACAAGCAAAAATTTGTGTCCAGTGTTCGGCACATGCTTACCTTCTGTTGCATTTCAAAATGAAAAAAGACGTGGGTAGCATTTAGTACTTAGTGTTAATAGTCATGCCGCCCCGGTTCCATCTCTCACTTGATGAAATGGATGTATATACATGCTTCTGTTCGAGCCGTCTTTAAGAGCAATAGCTGGTGGCAATGTGCATGTTGTTAGAGAAGCAATTTGTTATAGCAGTAATCGCATATGTAAATACGATTTCTATGGTCATGATCTTTGGCGGTCCACCGCTGTGCGTTTCTTACGCATATTTCTGCGCCGCACAGCTACTTTGTGGAACCACTTGTTGGCAGCGGTATTTCCGTACAGACACGGCTTAGTAACCTTCAAGGAAAGACCCTACTCCTAACTCAAAACCGCCAATCAGTTATGACTCCTTCGATGCTTAAAATGTCCATGGGTGACGGTGATCATTTTGCGATCAGGTGAATCGCTTGTTCATTTGCTTCTATTTTTCATAAAAAGTAATAATAAAAAGTAGCGTAATGCCCAAAGGATAGTTCACGGCCATCGGCAGTTGGAGAGTGGAGTGACTTTTGGACGGTGCAGGTGGGTCGGTAGATGGTGGAAGGGCGCCTGAGGTCGGATGCTGTCTAAAAACGCGGCTCCGGGCAATTTATTAGAGTGCCTCATACATATGTATCGTGACCCGGGCGACGCTGAAAAACTATCGCTAATGAAATCAATTGAATTATACATCAGTCGGGCCATTTTGGGAATTAGACGGGACGGCGCGGGCAAAAAGCGGCCGCGAGCGCCCGGGTTCGATCCCGCCGGACACGCGCACCGCTACGGTACCTCACCCTACACTCCACTCTTCTCTCGCCTACAGCATACTCTTACTCTACTCTTCTCTCCTGCCCGTGGCTTGCAACCTAAACAAACGTATAGGCACCGTGACGGTTAAAATGGCTTTAGCATGTCGTTACAACACTAATGTTACTGGTGCAAAAGAACAAACAGTTTTTGTAAAATTTTGAGAAGGTTTCATTTCAAACAAAAATCTATGTTATATGAATAACACAATACATTCTCAATTAAATAAAAAACAACTAAAGATTAAAAATTGATTCAAATGCTACATTGTAGATAAAAACGTTAGGATTTTCGTCGATGTGGCAATCAGCTGTTTAGCTTAGTGGTTAAAGCGTCAGGCTGCGAATGCCGAAGACGTAGGTTCGATTCCAACAGCGGCTTTCTCTTCTTCTCGGCTATCTTTTCGTACTTTTTCAACATATTTTAATGTTCAATCTTAAGTGCAGAGATTAGCACTATAAAAAAATTAAATTTTCATAAAAATACAATTAAAGATTTTATTTTGTGCATTGATGAAGAAAATGTTATCATGGAGGATATTACGTGTTACATGCATAGATACGTGTACAGCCAAAAAGTATAATAGGAAAAACGTTTTTAACTTTTAGTTTTCCGGGCGTCATTTATTGTGTAGTGTCCAATGGTATGCCGCCAAAATATTGTTAAAATATAATATCTGACGAAATGTTCAAGAACAATATGACATAACAGTTGTTTATTGGTAATAAGATAGATATAACAAAGAATAGAGTATTACATACAATTACGTACATACGTTAAGTAATATTTTTATATTACTGAACGTATGGATAATGATCCCGGATCCCGTCGTCCATTTGGGGAGTCCAACGAGCACAAACAATATGCACCCATTACCATAACAACTGCATGCTAATTAAAATGGATCAGAAACAAAACAATTGATCAATTGATCACATAAAAAAATATAACTTGTCTGACATTTATGTTCTGTTAAAGTCGACAAACTATTACTTGCCTTAGAGCAATTTGAATATGGCAGCATCTGCACGCGGTGGGACTGACATTTTACTATGTAGACAAGACGTACAGTTTTTCTTAATTTTATGATGCATGGCGTGCGTACATTCTCTACGATATTGTGTGTCTATTCTGAAGCATGGCATTATGTCGAATACGTTGCTTATATACGTACTTACAATACTATGAACAGAGCACAAATAATACTAATAAATTAATAAAAAACTAATACATTTCATACCGAACGCCAACCGCTTACAGCGGTAATGTGACTATAAATAAACTACAAACTTCAACAGTTTTAAAACGGAAATCTTTTGTTATTTTAGAGACTTATCTCGTTTTAATAATACAATCAATAATCGAGGAAGTACGATAAGTTGAACTTATATAGTAACGGATTACGGAGTTCAATATTTCGAATTAAGCACATGGGCTGTTAAGATTACTGAAGATGGATGCTGTAAAGTGTTTCTAGTTTTGAAAATAAACAAAGATTTTTTTTTTCATTTGTTTATTTATTTTTTTGAAGACATTGCCCCTAATGAAGGTTTAATATTATTCTATATTGTAAGAAACTTTAACATCTATAAATTATACGTGAACAAACACCCACAACCTTAACAATTATTTGGGGGTTTCACAAATAGCTGTCCCGTGTGGGAATTGAACCCACAACCTCCGGCGCCTTAGCTATGTATAGGCAAATGCGTCTAAATTTTTTAGGTAAATTAACTCTGAGGTACGGTTTTGTGACAGATAAGGAGGACTACCTCATTTGTCAGCAAAAAGTGGTAAGGCTATATAATAATGATGATTCAGTCTGTGATAGTTTTAGGCGTTGGGTGCTAGTAGTACTAGTAGTGCTGTAGTTTGCTTCTCGCCGAAGGCACACCACAATTTTTTTAATGATGTTCGAACCTATTTCTGTTGTTTTTATATAACTGATGTTACGCTTTCAGTCCTTACACTCTTAAAGCTTCAGCGAACGCATTTGCGTTCGAACCTATATTATTTGCCTATATTTTATCAACATGATGTCATTATTCCTGTGCAAGGATGAAAAGAAAACCTTTTAACAATTAGATGTTCACGTAAGGTAGGCAGAACAGTAATCGGTACATGTGTATTTTCAATACAATACAACCTGTACCGCGGGCGAAGGCAGATGCCAAGGCTGCAATGGCACCTGCCGCCCCGGGGGACAATCGCACCACCACCCCATGGCCGCAGTTGACCAACCGAGATGTCGTTCGTGTGCACTATGACGAGGCCTGCATATGTCTCACTTCCATGCGATGTGAGTACTCCTTTAAATTGAATAGGAAACACGACAGCAGATAAAAAAGACACGCTAAAAAAGGCGCCTCAATATAGGCAAGTGGCATTTGCCAACATAATAGTATAGAGAAGAGGCATATCATGCAACTCCACGTATATATGAATGGTATGCAATAAAAACACTGATCAATATGTGCTCTGTCCGTCTGTGTCTATGTGAAGGTAAAGATGAGGTAAAAGTAAGCCGTGATAGGTCAGTGTTCGAGAGCTAGCGTTTAATTGAACATACTCGAGCAACCTGAGTTCAATCTCCGGTGCCGGCACCAATGAAATTGTTAAATTTAAGTACTGACTTATCACGTGTTCCTTCACCACTAAGGTGAAGGAAAACATCGTGAGGAAATATGTATATTTCAAAGATAAAGGAATTCCGCTAACCCGCAGTGGGATCTCGCGTTCGTTTGACTATGCGTTAATGCTATATGCCCTAATAGAGGGTAATACCCTCTGTACAGAGGAGGCCTTTGTCCGGCTGTGGGACATTTATAGGATTTTACTTTACTTTACTTTTTTTACTTCTAACATCGTTCAAATATTTTGCGTTTAGCTGCATGGTATTAATTTCATTTCGCCGACTACCTACCGTACCACGTTACTTTCTTACGTGCATATATAGCACACACTCATTTTTTTAATTACACAGGTATATAATCCGATATCAACTTCTTAACATAAGAACCACTCACAGGCTGTTCACAGGACATGCAAAATTTCATATATAAATTTCATAGACTGCAATAGAAATTTAGTCCGTCTAGCATGTTTTTATTATGCGACAAGTTGTCAAACGAGCAGACGGTTCACCTGATGTTAAATGAATACTGCCGCCCATGAACATCTGCCACACTCGAGGGTTACAGATGTGTTGACAACCTTTTGAAAATTGGGCCCCGGCTACCTCACTCACCAGACGAAACGCGAAAGTATTTGTTATACTTCCACTTTACGCTGGTCTTCTGTGAGGTCGTGGTACTTACCCGGACGCGCCTGCCCATTCATACAACAGCCGAGGCTGCTGCGTGGCCCTACCACCGTTATTATGGTACTTACTTGAATAAAAAAATCTAAGAATATTATCCTTGACAACTATGTAAGTAGTAAATAATTTAAAATATAGACTATATTGTATCTATATAGATACTAACTATATTCCGGTTGAACTTCTAAAAATTAACAACACATAAAATGATAAACTATAGCGGTATTTAACAACAATTTAAGCTAAAACTCGTAGAAAAAGTACGAAAAGAATGTCGCCGCTATGAGAATCGAACCCACGTCTTCAGCATTCGCGGCCTGCCGCTTTACCCACTAAGCTTAATCTTAAGTGCAGAGATAAGCACTATTAAAAACTTTAAATAACAATTTAAGCTAATTAATCATGACGTGCATTCATCATACAATTATCTACTACTTAACCTAAACTGAAACTGGGCTTAGTTTTACAGCAGTCAGTCTTTTTTTATTGAGTGCTTCGTGAATGTTAAGAAAAGGTTGCAAAGAACAGCCGATTACGTAAGTTTCTCGGACTTATCCCGCATACAGAAGCAACGCTAGGACGCTGTGGAGTGGTGGCGAGCGCCGAAGCCGCGTGCCTGTCGCTCAATTCAAATGCATGCTAATGCTCACGCGGCACCACCGCCGCCTTTTACATAACGCCTTTTGGTAGACTTCTCATTATTTTCAAATTTAAGCACTTAGCTTCACCTCAGTCTTCCATGTAAAAGAAATATAACCTAGATCAATCCGTTGTTAGCATTGATTCCCCGTTACTACTGAAGATAATAGTAATGTAACATTGTAGTGCTTTTGTTACTTAAATCAAAAAGTGAATTATAATTAATTACTAATGACGAAACATTTAGCAAGTTTAAACTACAGAAGTTTATTAGATTTAACAAATTGGTGAATAAAAAGAATAGAAACTTTCGAGGAGCGTAAAATACTATTTAGAAAAATAAAATTAAAAAAGGGCACCTTTTTCTTACTGTCGAAACTTTCCCATTATTTATTTCGTGTGCTGGTTCAAGTTGCACAGATACATAAATGAGATCTATACGACGTATGTATCCACGAGTAGAGCACGAAGGCGGCGGTACGGTGCGTGGCGCGGCTGCGTTTGGCTCGGCACCGGCGCGCGCGCCATCAAAGGGCTCGCGAAAGGACAGCGAGGCAAGATAAGATTTTCACCTCATATGCGAATTTCTTTAAAAGAGCAAAACTTAGAATAACGCATAAGAATCGACAATAACGGCACAGACGGCGGCACAGGTTCTCAACGCCCCCGCGAGCTTTCGGGGCCATTGTGGGCCCTAAGCGGAGGGCGTAAGGGTCCGACCGAGGCCCAGGGCGCGTTCGCTGCGCGTTGGGCCGCGATGCTCGATATGCAAATGGGTGCTACTGTTTTGCCGCACCATTGTCCGCGCACCTTTCATACGACCCCGGTGACTTATGGCCGCCGCTGCCGCAACAATGCCGCCCTGCTTTGTTTTGGCCGCGTATTCTCGATTGTTCACTCATACCTCGTAATATCTCTGCGTCGCGCTCCTTTTGCATATTGCCTTTGCCGCCAGATATTGCCTTTTTACCAAACAACGCAAAAGCGACCGTTTGAGCCGATGGAGGGTTAACGCTGATTCGAACAATCGTATCGATAGAGCGTCTATCTTGAATAGGCTTAAATAGACGTAATGAATTATTGTTATCATCAAAATACTCATGTATTTTTAATATCAACATCGTAACATATTATAGACATTTGTGCGTTAAAATCCGTACAATTAGTTTTATTTGGCATGTGTCATGTGTAGTATTCGCTTAAACTTTAGTTATATGAGGCATTATTAAGGATTACATTTTCTGTGTTAAAATATAATGGGGCTCAAGAAGACAATATCTGTGCAACAGCCACATTGGTCCCATGTATCACGCAAATGTTATCATTTGGTTTATGTCCTACATACTGAGCCGGCAGAGTTGGAGTCTCGCGTCCGTGGCGGTGTTATCTTAATTGGTGACCTTGTAATTTATAGTTAGTTAGGCGTCACACCCGCCCCCGCCCCCGCCCGCACCCCCGCCCTCACTGTCGGATGTACGTAGAGCTGCAGAGCGACGTGTAATTATTAATAACTTTTACTCGTCTCCTTTCCAAAATACTATTCAAATCAGTTACGGCCAGAAAAAGACACTTTACACACAATCTATTTCAAAAATTTCGCAAAATATGTAATAAGAAAGAACTCGCCTACTTCTATTTTCGATATATAATTTAAGATGGTTTCTTGGCGTAGCTTGCCATTGGAACATACTATTGTATATCATAAGATGCTTAGTTCTTTTGCTCTGTGATGTTACACAACACCACCGTTTACCGGAGTTGATCGTGAAGACTAAAAAATACCGTCGCATCATCTCTGCGTGAATCCGCGCCGCCAATGTAATCATAGACCGAGATGAACAATACGTAAGACAACATTGATTTACCGTATTCGGTCGCTTAATCAAACGCCGACTGCTCGGCACACAGCGCGCACACACGCGCACCACGCCCACCGATATCTTATAATCTAATTATGTTGGCTCTCAAACTGACGAGGAATAACATCGTGTAACATTACGGCATCACTGCGGGCAAAGGTTTACTTTTCAATTAAAACTTGGCGAAGACAATAAAATTAGAAATTTTCTGTTGCAGGATACACAGTTACCTTTAGCTTAAACCTATATATTTCATCAATGTTTTTTACTGGAAGAAGAACAAATAAGAGGTAGAATGGTTAACTTGTTACTAATATTATCTTATTTTGTTTTTTAAGTTATAATTCTTTTGGCGTGTTTGGAAATAGCCGATAGCTAAAAAGCGACACAATGAAGACGTTGGTTGCTGCGACCACGCGTCAACGACAATGAGAATGCGTCAACTTTTTGACATTTACGTATGATTCCAAGTTATTTAATCAAACCATTATCAATTACATTTAATATCTTTTTCACAAATAAAGAGTAAGTACTGGCACAGGGAATAAATTTTTTAGCTACGTATTAGAGAAGTATGGATTCGGGGCTACTTCATAACAAGCTATTGAAATGGTCATGCGAGTTTTTGTTGTTTGACATTCATCGCCACAACGCACGAAACTCCCGATTTCATTGTCCCAAAAGGATAATCGGTTCGCTTCACCCAATGAACTGCCATCCCTATTTGCACAGAACAGATGACTTTTGGTTTAAATGAGATCAATTTCTTTTAGTTGATCGCATAGAACCAATACTATACTTATTGAAATAAACTTTTTGATTTGTGATTGTGACCTTTACAGGGTAAAATCAGATATGGCCACAAATTTCTCGAGCTAACTGCCATATACTTACTTGCCAAATACTTTACTTCTTTGAAGTACCAAACATTTTTGCGAGATCGGACGGTTGCACGTATAAAACAAAGTGTACTTTATATTGAACTAGTACAGGTATATTACCAGGGTAAAGGCATCGATTTAATTATAATGGGCAACTCGCTTCATCAGTAAAAGCGTATTCCATCCTTGATGGCACATTGTAATAGAACGGAATTACGTACGTCGGCAAATTATTCCGCTCCTTTGTTGTTTCATCCATCACGATTGACGAAGCGAATCCTCGATTAGCGATTGCTGGTTGGTTTATAGTCAGGGTAAACAGTGATTAATAGAATTGAACGTTTTTGATAGCAGAAAATTATCTCGGTGCGTAAGGCTTCAGTGGAGTTTCTTGGTTAAAGAAGTTTAGGTCATATGTGTGTATGTATATTGTAAGGTGAAACAGCAGTGTGGTTCCGGTCCAGATCGTGCCACAAACCAACAAATCGACATAAATTATAGATCAAATCGATATTGATATTGATATCCGGCTTCCGGCGTTCGCACTCTTGTAATAAATCGAGCGAGGTCTGCCATTGTGCTGGCATTACACGAGCGCTAACCACTAACCGCTCTATTTGTTGACGCTTGTTTATTGCGGGAGCGATCTCTCAACCCGCAACCGCTCGATACAGCTACGAGACTTACGGGCATAATTGCGCACCGCAACCTAATGCGCGGCATAAATTGCTTGTTATTTGTTAAGGCTACATAAATTATCCGGCGACTGTCCAATGTCACTCGGATGTCGGCCGACTGTTTATAATTCAGCAGTTGCCTTGCAAATTGTTAATTCACCATTGCGACGACATTGTCACGTATAACGATATGTTCTTCTTATAATCCTTATAGAAACATACATTACAAACATCACGATGGTATTCGTCGATATTACTGAGTTGTAATTTCTTTGCTTGATACAACCCACTTTTGATGGTCGATATGCTGGATTCTGTATACAAGGATGGTATCAATCTTGATGTCAGAGATAAGTATGACAATATTTATTTAATGCAGGCCTTTTTCAGGAACTTTGAACCTATAAATTGACAAAGATACACAGAACAAAACGCTTCTGTTAAATATTTACAATAATTCTTCTTTTTTTTAATTATAGGATAATTTTCTATTAATAATATAATTAAAATATAAGATACAATAATATCAGTGCAAACTTGGGGTCGAGTCTGCTGTAATTGTAACAAGCGCAGAACAAAAGTCATTTCCACACATCTTTGAGCCCATTATTGACATTTAAATTGACATTATATTACGCCGTTTCCTTTAGGGTAGCTTTTACAAAATGTTTGACATTGTTTAGTTGCTTGAAACTTATATAGTTGATGTCTTCTATTTTATTAATTACGTTAATACTTAACCGCCTCGGGGCCGGGGTAACACTATGCAAGTGTGGTGTGGTTCTTACATTTTTTTCGTATATATGCATACAAAAATGGTTATTATTACGCACACATATGTTGTTTTCGAGTAAGTATAGCGAAGAGAACATTAAAACGTTTGTTTGCTTAAAATATGCCGTAGTGGCACATGTGGACTCGTAAAAGTGAAGCCGTAGACAGTCCGTATCGCTTGCTTTTGTAGTACAAGTATTGGGTACCACATAAAATGAAGATAAGAATAAAAGAATCATTGGCTATTATTTTGGCAATTACCTTACTAATCTTATAACAAAGATAACGGAGTTAAAGTTTTTATTAACCATTTGCAGGTTAAGAGTGAATAATTCGGTACGTATTTTTCAGAATAGATTTAGTTCCGTTACTGTAACTTTGATTCTATTTAGTGAATTTACAATGTTAAAAAAGCTTAAAACTTTATACGTCCAGGCTATTTTCAAGTCCATTATTGATGAAAGTTGTAACCATAATTTTCATCAGCCTAGTGCAGTTGTTTACGGCATTTATTTGCAGTCCAATACCTCGTAACACTTTGTCTTTATAACACATAACTGAATTACACCTAAAATGAATAAATTTATCACATTTGCAAGGTTGCTCTAATACAAAGTTACGAAACCGATAAAAAAAGACGTTAATGCAAGCGTCACGTTGCGTTTTTTAGCAGACAATAAAGCTATTAGTTACGTTGGACACGATGTTGCGTACAAATGAACTTTGATGTAAAAAAGGGCAGTAAAAGCGTTGAAACTGTATTCTGCGTAGCGGCGGGCATCAGATAAGCGCGAGTGTGCCTCGGTCGCCACAGGTAGTCAACGGGACCTCGGCTGCACTTTTTGCCCCTCCCCGAAGGACGTCTCTTCCTCGAAGTTTCGCTGGCCCGGTGTCCTCGCGTGACAAGCCCATTATTTTTATTTAATAACTGCAATATCTTATGGACTCCAACACGTCTGCCTTTCTCGCTAAATTGAAGGTGTCATCAACATCACCTGCGGGGGCACATACGAGAACATGAAATATCTATTCGGTCGGTAAAAGTGGAATAACACTTGGCTCACAGGATACAAATGACATGATACTAATGTTGCCGTATTGAAGTTCTTCAGACCAATGTGGAAGATACCGGTGTGATGACTAATAGATAAGGCCAAGACACAGCGACGCTAATAGATAAGGCCAAGTAAAAAAAAACGGATAAGGGCGAAGTGATCGGACTCGCGCATGAAGAGGTCCGTACTATTATCTAGTATGTAATTTTATTTGTATGAGTGGCATTACAACTCAAAGGACTATCTCAATTGGGGTCAAAATTATCAATTTTAGTTAAAAGCAAGGTCTTACAGCACAAGTAAAAGGAAAATTCGGAAAAAAAAACACAAAAATCGAAAATCGAAAATTTGCCCATATCTTTTTATTGTATTGACTCAGGCCTTGATTTTTATAAACCTGATAGGGACTATAAACCACAGTATCTGGTATGAATTTCAATTTGCTAGGTCCACCCGTTCCTGAGAAAATCGGTGGTGACACACCGACAGGCAGAAAGACAGAGAGTGAACTTATAAGAGTTCCTTTTTTACTTTTTGCGGTACAGAACTCTAAAAACAAATAAGAGATCGTTTAGAAACTTTACCCCTTCTTTAAGATAACATAATTCTGCGTTGTAGAGGTGTTTCACGAATAAACAAAAATTAAACTAGGAAATATAGTTAAATCCGGAGCAAGTGGCTGTAGGTCATTCAAAATACTTGTAATTCCAATTGCCTTGTTGGTGGGAATCAAACCAATGGCCCGCGGAGCCGAAGTCTATCCCTGCAATTCATCATAACAATTACATAATGACATCGATAGTAACATTATAATTTCCAGTTCGTCATATATGAATTTTAAAAACGATAATATATCAGTTTCATCTGAATGAACTGCGATTATGATGCGATCTGAATAACTATTTGCTTGTGATAGAAGGCTATGTATATGTATCCGGGCCTCGTGAATTCTTCATCCAGTGTTTAAGTCAGCTCCAGCACAAGGTCAATGTCACCACTCTCGCTGGACAAACGAAAACAACCAATGCAATGTTTTCTCGCATGTTTGAATTGTCTTCACACAGAAATATATATGAATATATATTTATTATTGCCATGTCAGAATTATGAGGGTATCGCGTAGGTGTTTCCTGGCTATCTATGACTACTGGCTAATCTTAGCTGGTTATATATCAGCAATACGTTTTAAAGCAAATTAATGAGTGTCAACATACTTGAAAGAATTTGGTCATATGGCGCTTAGGACTCGGTTCGGAACAAAGGGTTCGACGAAAGCTTCAGAGCAAAGGAAAACCGCACGAAGAGGCATAGGTAGCAGCGGGAGGTCGCGCGGAGACGTGCGTCAGCGCATCTGCAACCCTAATGTCCAGATCAAATATTGATGAGTTCTCGAAATCTCCAGGCAGCAGTGCGAGCGCATGCCATCTGCATACATCTGGCTGATTTGGAGTGCCAATGAGATGCGCCTGACCGCTGCCGAGCGACGCCAACACCGACGCCACCACCGACGCCTGTCACCGGTGACACTTTACATGATTGCTTGAATAATTCACGCGTCTTCGGGCCGCCGCTTGTTTATCCTCGAACGTTCCATTTACATTGCTGATGTGCTGCCATAATGTTTATGGCCGATGAAAGCTGTGTTCCAAAGGTACTACTTAATTTTTGTTCTTTTTACATTGACAGGATGTAGACTCTGGCAACTGGTGTTAGGCCAGCAGTATTGGTACTAGCGAAGATCTATTAAGCTGAAAACATCGTTAATCTTGCATCAAGTCTCATGTAGTAATTTCAGCTAAAAAGCTAGGAGTGCTGAAATAAGTTCGGATATCCAATGGAAAAGAATTGTGGAAGACTATTTTATTGATCGTGATGACAAACGAACAGTCAAGGTACTGATAATACAATGAGCAGCTTTATATCTTCCCTTTTTCCGCTACGTTGGTCTTGGAAAGTTTGTTGCTTCCCTAGTAATGCCAGTCTATTGTGCAGTTGTGGATGTTGCTTCGTTGCTGTACCAAGAGGCTATTGGAATCAGTACTTCTCAAAGTCACAACATTCTCACGAAGTAGGTTAGCACAATGCTTTGCCGTATTTTTTTCGGAAGTATTTATTTGTTTCGTGTCTTTATTTTTTACACTTAAGAAAAAACCTTTATATCTTTTAGAAGACCGGCTAACAGTCAGGACACGGGCGTAAGTAAAAAAAAACACGTCACGGATTATTTCGGACATGTATTAATAAAGACGATTTTTTAATATTTGGTTTGATAAATTTGTGGTGTTTCATAAGGGAAGTGCGCGGTCGGACGACGTGAAATAAATCAAAGGTGCTCATTGTAGGAGCGTGCATGGTGCGTCTGGCGAACGGCCCTCAATGGCCTGCAGCGGGTGTGGAGAATCGAGCAAGGGGTTGCCCTCAATGCCGCAGCGATATGATTTAAATGACACAATGTGTGCCGAGACAAAAAGCTAGACGCAGGTGCGGCTATGGTCACCATTATTGACACGATCATCGGGATATATGGAAAATTTAAATTTATGGTGTTATTGTACTTTTTATTATAATCTACGGAATAAAGAAGAATAACCTTAGTTCTGTGACCATTTCATGAAATAAAAATTAAAAGTTTTAAATTTAGTAATTAGCATTACCTGTCTTTAACGGTCAATTCTAGGAGAACAGGTAATATATCTTTATATCTTTTAATCAATAGTCCCGTTTTTCACATCGTTGATAAATAGTTATGTTCAACTTATTTCACATGGCAAACACCCAGATGCGAAACAACTATCTGTGGGTCAAACAAATAGTTGTCCCGCCGCCGAAGCCAAAACCTTGACAACTGCGCCACGGAGTTATCAATCATCACATCTTTGTTATAATAAATTTTAAACAACACGCTATGCCAAATTACCAATGCCGAGCCTGTATGGACACTATACCTCATAATGTTTTCATAAACTTATAACTTGTCATATTTTTGTTTAAATTAAGTGACAATTGTGCACGATTTGTTTTAGTTCTACCTCTTGATAATATGGACGTTATATATTTATGTCCAAATTCACACTGATCAGACTAAGGTCAATTAAAGTCCGAGCCGTCGCTGCCGCTTGGTCACCTTGGTTTGCGCTCGGCTTTCCACAGAACAATGATAGCATCGCAGCTCCTTCGATGTGTATTAACACGTCGGTGTCCCGGCTGCCGTTCAGATTTATGTGCGCTGCTCCTCTCACGTGGCGTTCGGATTCTCACGACCCGATATTTTGGGCACATGCAGAACTGAGCTGCGACTGCAATCAGTGAAGCGTGGCTCCCACGTATTGTTATATTGGTGGCCGATGATCGGGACTAATTAAATTTAACGGCATATATATTAGATTCGACTTTTAGTCAAAATCCTATGTGTGGTACATCAAGGGAATTTTAATAGCACAATTTAACTCTACCATGAACTTGCTATCCAATGTTATAACAGTCAAATCAACATGGATCGAAATTTGGCACAAATTTTTTTAGACGAGTTTTTTGAGACTTTCAGCTGTGGAGTACCTGCTAGCGTTTATATTTTGCTTTTAATTATCAACCGACTCACATTAATATGTAAGTTTAACCTGAAATTCTGATATTTCAGGTTAAACTTACATATTAATGTGTATATGTTATATATTCATATTCAATTATACATTGACCATAAAAACTATGAAGTGCGACCCATTCTATTTTTGTAGTTGTGTGTATCTGTCGTTCCACTAATATACATTTTTTATAATCAGATCCAAACAGGTAAAAATTAAATAATCTTTTTACTATTTCTTATTTGATTTTCTTATCATGAATTTTGTGTTGTTATACGTGCGCCAACAATGACATATTATTAAAGCTAGGGTTGAGGGTAAGTAGAGCCGTGATAGCTCAGTGTTCGGGTGCTCATTTTTAATTAAAATTAAAGTATCCCGAGTTAAATTTGTGGAACCAATGAAATTCTTATTACTATTTTTAATTCTCACTTATCAACTTGACGACATCGTGAGGAAACCTGCATATTTTCTAAATTAGAAAAAAACATCGAGGATATTTGAAGTCTGCCAATCCGCAATGCGGCGCGCTTGGTGAACTATGCCTTAATACCCTCTGTACAGAGGAGGCCTTGCCCAGCAGTGGGACATATGTAGGCTTTCGTTATTTTACTTTGTTATTTTTGGTATTTACGTTTATATTGTAACTTCAATGTACTGGTGAACATAAGCTGTGCAGGGTTTCCCCATAGATTGTTACGATCCAGAGCTGTGGGCGTACCTAGTAAAAAAAATAATGTGTATGACTACATACCAGTGGTCGTTTAGGGGCACAGCAGACAAGGAGAGGCGACAAAAGAAATGCTACCGCTGTCATTAATAAACTAAAGCTCTATCGCGCTTATTAGAACATTATAGGACTGGTGCTGCCACGGGTATTGTGATGACACCGGCGGCGTAAAGCGGTTATTTCTAGTAATGTCATACACTGCGAGTTTCTCTATATCGCATGGATTAGCTATGAACGGTAGGCAGCAATGAATTGGATGATAAACGGTACAGTCCGCATTTGTCGCTGGCAAGGGGTGTGCGGCGGGGGATCGGTGGGTCCGCTCCGAGTTAATGTATTCGCAAAATAGTTTAATTTAGCGGCGACACGACGCGCGCTGTCTGCCGGCGGACGGCTCGATTAGGGCCGGGGTGGACGCGCTGCGACGGCGCGGGATTAGTTGAGGCCAAATTAAAAACTAAGACGATTTGTCGCATCACCGCGCCTGTCCCGCACAACCCTAGCTTTAATAACGCTCCATTGTTGGCGCAATCATTGTCGAGCTTAACTCGGAAGCTGTGGGACGAATTGAACCTCCGCACATCTCCATTAGACAGCAAAGTATCATTTATGCGTCGGTTATTGACATTTCTTTATTATAACACTGCATACATAATTATTATAGTACCTGGAGGACCGAGCTTTGCTCGGTTTGTTTTTTGGTAAATCGTGTGTTTTGGAAATTACATTTAGATACAAATTACTGAGTAATGAAATATGCATAATATTTTCGATCTTACCGACGTAATAATAAGAAAATATGAACTGATGTTTTTCACAAAAGAAAGAACTTTAAAAAAAAGGGAAAAAAATAACAAAATAACAAATCGACAAAAAATTAAAAATAAAGAAAGCAATGATCTGGAATCGAAAAAAAAGTAAAAATATAAATGTGTATGATCGTGACGGACTGAGCTATTATAACATTTTTTTTGCGGCGAAATTTACCGTCGTATTCCAATGATATTTTTCATTCCCTGAAAACAGGGATAAAAGGACATTTTCTAAAAATGAAACCTAGCTAGAAGAATTGCTCGTTTAAAGGATAAGATTCTACAACTACAGGAAATACTTCAAGGTGTATTTTATGGAACTTCCGTAACCTAATGTCAAGTGCTTATCCATAGAGATTATTTTAATTAAATAGTTTTTCTATGATGGTTTTTGTTTATTTCTAGTTTTTGTTTTTTGGTTAACTCGAAACCCACCAAATGCTACTTTATTAGTTAGGTAATTTTATTAAAAAGTTTCCATCGTACATATGTAATAGAATTTTATCTAGTGTGTTTAATATTCTATATTGGACAGATGTTTCGTTTTAACTCCGTATACCTAATATAAAGCTTCGATGGAGGATAACGCAGATGTTTAATTAAGTATACAAGAATCAATAATGGCTTAGTAGTGGTGCAGCCAAACTTCAGATTCCAGCAGCGATCTCCATTGAGTTTTCTATTACTCACACTTCTTCGAGTATCAGTTGTAGAATACTCTCCACATTTGGACTTTACGTCCACTGCAACGAGAATAGGTCTACTGCTCTCCAGTAAAAATACGTGAGAGCGTGTGGCTTGCTAATACAATAGTTTGATTGTTTGGCTTTTCGCAAAACGAAGGAGCCGCGCACACGGCGAACGCGAGCTGAGCGGTGACAATGAGCCGTTCGGCTGCGCGCGTGTGAGAGAAACCCAAGTCCGCTCTAATTACTGTTTGGGGCGGACTCATGTTTCAGCGGCGGCGGCGGCATTGTTTCACCAATTACGTCTGCTTCGCGCCAATTCCGGGCCCATTGATAGGCTCGGCGATCGATTGATCGGCGGCTGACACTTCCCACAATGGACGCGTCGCTTTGAGGGCTCAATGGAACGGTCGGCGGCTCGGGGGCCGGTTGGCCGACGCGCGGGATCCCGCTGCGGCATTCACCGCCGCGCGTTAACCGATCACCGTTATTATTATTACCCATGCAATTATTATACATGCGCGGTATGCAAAGTTCGCATCTTTAAGCCCTGTTAATTACTGGCATGGCTAAGATAATATATTTGTTTTATTTGGAATTATATTTTAAAGAAAAACTGAGTAAAAATGAGGTAAAAATAATGTTCAAGTGATTATTCTATCCATATACGATCATATCCCTCAGAGAAACCATGCATAGCTCTTTCCATGCTCTTAACGTCTTACAACTTGCGAAGTAGTCCCCCATATTTCTGAACAACTTCAAGCGGTTTCCTGTCAATGATTGGTCTCGGATCTATTAAACATTAGTATTGTTTTGTCTATGTTCATACCGAGGCCAATTCTAGAAAATTCAGGTAGATCATTGTAAATCCTGCCGTGACTCCGCCGCTAAGACTATGTTATCGGCAAATCGTAGGTAAGACGCGTACTCTCCGTTGACGTCAATGCCAATATCTCTCCAGCCCTGTGTCTTAGACATACCTTCCACGGCATTAGTGAACAGTTTCGTAGAAATGACGTTTTCATACAAAATTTTTTCAACGCGTGGTGCGTTGCTGAAATTTGCTCTGTTTGGAAGTGGTTGTTGCTAGTGGCATTTCCGGACGATACGTCTTATGGAACTTTCAGTTCTTCAACTTTCCACTCCTGCATCGAAGGCCGTTCGTGCAAACTTAATATTCTTGAACCTACGTATTGACCGGAGAAATGTATTGCCATGCAGAACTCTTTATCCTGAGCCTCTGGAATAGTTTGGACAATTTCGTTAAGGATATCTAATAACAAAATTTTGTTATTTATGAATTCTGCTATAAGAAACCCAAAAAAATAAAAATTGTCAACCTGTTTATTACACGCAAAGTTTCTTTAACTTTTCATAGTTATTTTTCTGTAACATCTACTTATCACATTATGAATTTTCCAATCGCAATACCATATTTAAGAATGAGCAGATTTTAGTTGCTCCCTCTGAACTCCCTGCTCGCACTGAAAATAAATCGAAGCATTTTTCCGAACTCTACAAGATCTGAAACCAGCGAACGCAAATAAAAATCGTCGCTCCAAAAAGACATAATGAAAAACTATACCGTGACGGCGCGGGGCTTATAAACCGTACCGCGAAGCTGTTTTAGAGATGTAGACTTAGTTGAGCTAAAAAATAAGTTCATTTTTGTTTGACGGCGCGTGATAACTGTCAGTGAGAATTGTGGTGCTGGTTATTAACAACCACTTGTTCACTGCCTGAAACATATCAAATGGGAGGTCACTGTTAGACCGGTACGTTCTTAGTACAATTCTTGTAGCTAGATAAAGCAGATTTCCGTTGAAGACTTTCCATAGCCGTCATTCTTATCATTTCAATGTCTAAAAGGGGAAGACATTGGAAATTGCTGTAAAAGAAGACATGTTGATATTTAAAAAAAATTGCTCCACATGCGGTAGAAGTGAAACTTTTTAAAAAGCGTAAATAATCTTGAGGGTTGTGCGGGGAAGTACTGGGAAACATTTTTCTTTTTTTTTTTAGGTATGAAAGCTCAAAAGCATAGCGCAAAGTGCGTATGGTTTCAAAGCTATTGCTCTAATGCTTTGCTTTGTTTAGAATCGATAAGGGTTAACGGGTCCAACAAAAGCGATTCGATTTTTTGTTCGATTTGCAATGACGATTCGGGAAGTCCGAGGGGTGGACAGGGCCGGGGAAGCGGTTGCACCACTGTTTGTTTGTTTGTTTGTTTGTTTGTTTGCGTGTCGCGTCGTTAGGCGGGCACGCGGCCGCCCGACGCGTCGCCAACGGCGAGGCACAATGCGCGATTGTTCGCTTGCTCGTTTGTTCGTATTAAGCCTCTAATGGGAACATTTTGGTGGAGCTCATTGATTCGGTCGGTTTTTATTGTTCTTAGGAAGTGATCGGCCACGTAATGGTCGATCGGCTGGTAAACCGCGACGCAAATAATACGAGACTAGAACAAAGCTTCTGTATCACCTATGTTTCCCCAAGCTTTTTGTAATCGCAAATACAAGGGTAAGACTTCTTTTCCATTATACTGTTTGTTCTATATAAATATATATTTAAATGATAATACAAAAGTAAAATAAAAGTGAATTTTGTCTCAAATTGTTTACCGTCGCTAATAAATATCATTATCATCCTGCCCTTATACGACCTGATGACCATGTGAACATAATTCACATTGTAAGCGATTTTGGCTATGTATTTTATGACCGGCCACCTGCCTCACGTCAACCAACCTTGGGAAACAAACACTCAGATCCGGAGCAATTACCTGTGATTCACACAAATACTTGTCCCGTGTGGGAATCGAGCCCACGACCTCTGACGCCGAGGCCAATGAGCTTAGCAACGGTGCCACCGTCGTTAATAAATATGTAATTTACAAATACAATTTAATTTAGATGATAATTATTATGAGTTAAAAGGTATTTCCTCATTACAAGTAATTAGGATATATCTATGCATTTTACTGCTTGAAAAACTCGCAGGAAATTCTATTCTGTCGAATTGAAATTGTGTTTAGATCTAGCTATGTATAAATTCGTTACTGTTGCGCAAGTTGAAACATCGTCCCGGCTGGCTTCAGGGGCTAAGTAGTTTGCCCCCCGTTCTATGAGGATGCAATAATTCCGTTGCCGGTGAGCGGGCGCGTGATTTGTCGCAGCTCAAACACTCGGCGCGGCGGCCGTCGGATGTTTGTTTATGCTAAGGAGGGCAAATAAAAATGGAAGCGACGCGGGTCCTCGCATTTCAATCAGCGCCCTCCGAGACAGAACAAACTTAATATCGGCGCAAGAACATTCGGCGGGCCACCTGCCGCATCGAGGAGCCACCTCTGCGCCTTCAACGCTTTTCCCTCTCGTGGCACTCTCCAGGAGTAGTCGCTGAGAACGAGTTCCAACAAAATCAGTCTCCTAACCCAAATAACAGTTTTCGGGATATCGCAGCCAACGGGATAACAAAGAATTATTGTTGGTACAAGTTAAGCAAGAGTCACTCGTTCGCACTCTTTAATTGCCTCGCAGACCGCAGAGGGTGTTGGCCATACGGGCCATACAGGGATATCGGATGATCTTCGGTTAGGCGGTGTGCGCGTTGGCAGGTTCTCTTCCCTGGAACCTATCCTCGCGTCACTGCGCTACTGGCGGAGGCAATAGCCCGGGGCCACCTGCCGGCCTTGGTGGAATTGAGGGGGTGCAGACTTAGGTGGCGCTCACTCGCTATCGCCGAGTCCGCTATCTATTGGGAGCAGAGGCTGCAGCACCCCATTGCCGGCATAAGAACAATAGAGGCCATACGTCCGGTACTTAGTCGTTGGCTGGACAGGCCTCATGGCACTCTCACCTACCGGCCGACGCAGGTTCTCGGGACATGGCTGTTTCGGGAGGTGCCGCTTGGCGGGGAAGGAGCCAACAGCGGTTTGCCACCACTGCGACGTGTGTGACGAGGAGACGGCCCAACATGCACTTGAGGAGTGCCCAGCCTGGCGGTAACAGCGCCGGGAGCTGAGGGCTATCGTATCCCGTAACTCCCATACACCCCTGCTGCCTACCTACAAGGGGGCGGGGTATCCGTAAAGGATTTTTCCCACGGAAAGAAAAGAGTCGCTCACTCATGGCGTTGGCGATTTCTCTACCGACCTTATACGCATTACCTAGAACATATGAGTACCTTGAATCTTTCATCATGAGATTGGATCATCTGCTCAATTGATGCTCTATGGCAATCTTCGGGACTGCGGAGTGCTCTCGTATCTATTTTGCAATTCCTCCGTGGCACTCGAGCCTCGCCAATTTTCATCTCACCTTAGCGGCGGCGATCTCAACGCCGCGCCGTTCTGCCTAATTGAGCTAACTGTAGCATATTTTATTATACTCGAGATCATCTCTCCCCTTTTTTGTCCACTAATTGTTTTTACGTAGACTTCCATGAAAAAACATTTAAAGGCATTTAAACTCATCCGGGGAAGTACCACTGGCTCGCAAATGTCCAGCGTGAAGTGGGAGTGTTACACTTTTGCCTTTCGCCTGGTGACTCTCTCACGTAAGAATTTTTTTTAAGACTTGGTTACGCATCTGCCCTCTCAACAGTTGGGTGGCGGTAACCACTTAATATTTCGGGTGCACTGCTGACTCACTAACGAAATTCTTACATAAAAAAAGAGTTCAAATATTGTTAAAATTTGGGAAATTGACAATTCTATTCATTCTTGACGTGTGATATTTTTTCAGACGAATAGGGAGGGTTCTGTGGTCTATGAAATTATGGCTGCATAATAATATAAATTTAATTAAATCAGTTAGTAATTGGTGTCGTTTTTAGGTTTCCGTACCGAAAGGGTAAAACGGCACCCTATTACTAAGACTCTGCTGTCTGTCTGTCCGTCTGTCACCAGGCTGTACCTCATGAACCGTGATAATTAGACAATTGATATTTTCACGTATGATGTATTTCTGTTGCCGCTATAATAACAAATACTAAAAAACAGAAAATAATTTTCACTTAGAGATTCCATAAAACAGACATGATTTTTTTGCCGTTTTTATATATTATGGAATGGAACACTTCGTACGCGAGTGCGACTCGCACTTGGCCGGTTTTTATTAACTATATTGTTACCATACCAATCGAAGCGTATTCTTGAACATGAACGAGACGTTTACATTGTTTTGTTCAGTGTGGGACATGAATTGTATGTTTTAAACAAATAAATCTTCCCTAATGGGTGCTTAAAATTAAATACTTGACATCATTTTCGTTATAGTTGTCAACATTTTAGATGTATTAATTTTATCGCCAGTAATTATCGTTAGTGAGGTTTTCAGAGATGTATCACACACGCCTCACGAATGGTTTTTACAAGGTGATGTCAACCGGACGCAGTACTCCATTAAAGCTTATTTATTTGCGGCGCTCAATACTTAAATTGTCGCGAGTTGTTATTCCACGACACGAGAATGTACTGATGGGAAAACCTAATTTATTGACAAGAGTCGGCGAAGTAATTGCTAAATTAGGATAGGTCTGCCATTTACTGTTGATGTCATATATTTTATCGTGTTTCCACAAAACCGAACGTTTAACAACTCGTTTGGCGTAAATAGTATCCTTAACCGATCACTTTACAGGTGTATGGATATGGAAGAAGCATAAGAGGATTACTTATTTACTTACGCGTAAATCGTAATTGTGTTAAGGAGAGTGTAAGTGTTTATATCACGTCATACTTTTTTATTTATTTTTAAGGAGATGCTAAAGGTCGGCAATGCATTTTCAGATGTTCATGGTCGATGGTGATCACTTTCGATCAGACGAGTCTTCCGCCCGTTTGCCCCTTTTTCCATAAAAAAAAGATAACTGAGGGAACAGCTTGTCTGATAATAAAAGGTTGATTACAGCTATATGTTGTAAGAGTTTATGTTCAAGGCTCCCATCGTTTCCTCTCTCTCCTTGTACATGTATCGGCGTTGCGCCTTGGCGGGGAATGTGCCTGGCGTTGGGGCGTTGGGGCGCTGGGGCGGCGGCGCCGTGTTCAAGGGCCCACCGCCGTCCGTTTGTGATGCAAAGCGGTGGCGGCGGAGCACCCGCGGCCCGTCCGCTCCGAGGGCCCTCTTCATTAGTCACGCTCCCGAGAGCTTCGCGTCTCCGCTCGCAACTCAAATGTTTTACTTTTCACTCGCTGCCTACACTTCAATGATACCTTTATACACGCAATCGCAATCTGTTAACGACGGCCCTGCCTCTGTTGATGCGAAAAGTAGGCACTCGACAATGATCCGTTTCCTTTGTTCATAATTTAACTGCCGTCGCCCTATTTCGTGCACGATCTCTTCAATTATTTTGTGTTCTTTAATTTTTTCAACGGTTCAATTTCTTCTTTTTCTGTCCCATCAATACTCAAAAAAAAAAAAAAAAAAAAAAATCGAATGTCTTTATTCAACATAGGAGCATTACACTCACTTATTGATAGTCAAAACACTACCACCGGTTCGGAAAAGAAAGCCACTGTACTGAGAAGAACCGGCGAAAGAAACTCAGCAGGCTTTTTTATTTTTTATTATTTTTTAAATAAGCAGTTTGACATAAATTCATTAAAAATACAATATAAGAACTCTGATTGAAAGAGCCTGGAGCGATCAGTTCATTACCAGAGTTTGTTATCATTTAAATAATCATTAATATTATAGTAGCCTTTAACACACAAACGTTCTTTTACTATTTTTTTAAATTTAGCTGTTGATGCATTTTGAACGTTTTCTGGAATTTTGTTGTAGTAACGTATACATGGTCCCATAAAAGATTTACTTATTTTACGCAGTCTACTTGTGGGTAGGATCAATTTATTTTTGTTCCTAGTATTTATATCAAGAACATTATTATTTCTTGAAAATTTATCCTTATTTTTATGGACATACAAACATTTTCAAAAATGTATTGAGAAGCAACAGTCAATACCTTTATCTCTTTAAACAAGTTTCTTAATGATTCTTTGGGGCCCAGATTGTAAACTGCACGAATACCTCTCTTTTGTAAGATGAAGATCTGTCGGCCGCGTTACCCCAAAGCAGAATGCCATAAGACATTATACTGTGAAAATAACTAAAATATACCAAGCGAGCCGTAACTACATCAGTTAACTGTCTTATTTTTTTGACCGCGAAAGCTGCTGAGCTAAGTCTACTCGCCAGTCTATTATTATTACTGATAGACTGTAGTATACTAACACAATTTACAACATCTATCAAATACAGAAGGCATACATTTTGGATTTACATTTTCCGTTCATCCTTACCATAAATCCAAACTTCCGAAGCATATCTTTTGAACAAACATCACTCAAATGTGTAATGGTTTTATCAGGTGTTTAGGGTATTAAAGGAACGTGACAAATTGGCTGCGGTTGTTGTATTGCTGAACGACCTAAGAATAGATGCTGATGGCCGGCACCGCTTGCCACGGAGCTTGTCAGTTCGTAGCAAGGCGAAGACAGTGCGCACGAGGTGGGCAGATAAGGAGCGGGCGTGCGGCGTGCAGCGGCGACGCCCTCGTCACGACGCCCGCCGTCGCGTGTGAACCGACCCTTATCTGCGGACCACACGGGCGAACACGCGTTCCCCCCAAACTCACTCGGGAACAGATTCAACCTGATATCACGCCGTTAGACGCGGCTAATGTTTCTTTAATTTTAGTTTTATGTGGTTTATCTCATAAGCAATTAGATCGAGATCTTAAAACTTAATAAAGCCGTTCAATACTACTTCATATACTACATATTCATGTTGTAGGACCTCACAACAGTCCTCGCTGTTGCACTAATGGGCAGGTCCGTCCGGGGAAGTACCACGACCTCACAGAAGACCGGCGTCAAGTAGAAGTATTACACTTTTGCGTGAGTCGCCTTTTGCGATTTTTTCGTCTGGTGAGTGAGTTGGCCGGAGCCCACTTCATTAAAAGGTGACAACGCATCTGCAACAAATGTCCATGGGCGGCGGTTAATTGATAACCTGATTAAGATATAACATCAGATGAACCGCCAGCTCGTCCCTCGACTATGTGTGGACGCATGTTGTGTCGGAAAAGTGTTGTTGTTACAACAACAATATTCTGAACTCACTTCTTAAGTTATCCCTTATACAAAGGGTGGACGAAAACTTGTTGCCTAATTATGCCTAAACTATTAAACACACTATTAACATAAATGACGAATGGTCTGGTGGACTTCGGACTAAGGATCTTATGGCCACGGGCAAAATCATGGGTTTTAACGTTAAAAAAATACTTGCCATACGTGGCTGATGTAAAACGACTAAGCTAATACGACTATTTGATAGGTGTGTGAATGAAAACGTTGGTACAATTAGCTGTCTATCTAGAAAATATTAAAAAGACTCAAGTGCTTTTTGTTTGTAGACTGCTTATGCGTCCAACCACATAAACCCCGAACGAGTTTATCTGTAGAGACAGAATTAAAGAATTTGTGATGGTAACTTTTAAGGATGGTGTTCAACATTTGCAGAAACTTTGTTATCCTTTTCTAAACTGCCATAGTAGTTGTTTGATTAGATGATATCCGAAGATAAAAAAAGAAATTTTGTTGACCGAGTATGGTATTATACTTGCATCAATCATAAAATTTTAGAATTCAAGTACAAACATAAAAGGTTTATTTCTTTTGTCATAAAAGATAAAAATGTATCAAAAGTATATTGCATCTAACTTAAGTTGTAATCCTCAAAGTAATATTACGTCTAAATTGGTAGAGTTGACTCTACCAATATAGACGTAATATTACAATCAACCCTTGAACCAACGATTGTTAAATTTAACAATAATAGATAGATAACAATAAATATAAGCAATACATTACGATTACTTAAGATTATAATCTTATGCAAAATGTTATTTTTGATCTGGAGAGATTCTTGCATTTACACCTTGGCGCAGCGGCGACGAAGCGGGTGGCAACTTGGCGACGACGGCGACGCGTTAACGAGTTGCGGAGTAATTGCGGCACGTGGCGGAGTGGCACAGTGGCGGAGTGGCGGAGTGGCGGAGTGGCTAGGGGCCTCCCCGTCGGCCCGAGAGCGCCCAATGAGCTTCCCGCGCGGCCGCCATTGGCCGCGCCGCGAAAAAACGCCGCCACAAAAACAATGGCACTCCTCACACCGCCAGCCCCAGCTGGCCTCCGCAGTTGCACTGGAGCCCCCGTTTTCGCCCGCGTCACGTGCCTCCGCAGGGCGAGGAGAAGCTCCTCTACCGTTGGACGCACGATACGTCTGCTTATAGATAACAGAGCAATTGACATTACTGACACTGCCAGTGCTACTTGAAACGCGTGCCCTCCGAAAATGTCCTCGTGATCTTCGACTCCACTGCGGCTTAAGCCGTTGTGACGTGTCTCAGTGTTTTGGTTATTGAAGTGTACGTGCTGTGAGGACGAGCAATTGATATCGCTAACCACTACACGTTACAATCGCTATTTCTATAACAGATCAACTCATCGTTTCTACAAGATATCTCTTTGATTTCTAAAATCGGAAGCTATCTCAGCCCCACACGTGATACCCAGTTAATTTTTAACTATATTTTTAACAAATTAAATTTCTACAATGTTAGTTTTACTTCGAAATTATCGAATTTTCGTATTATATATAATTGACTCGTAAACACAATGTTTTTTCTGGGGGATTAAACGATGCGTTCTGTGCATTTAATTTCTGCCAAGAACCGTTAAGGAAAATCTTAACATATGTTTTGAGACCTCATTACTCTTTTTTATTGTATATTTTAGATTGTGGTTAATAGATGATAGAAGGCACGTACATGTCTATGGTGCTTTGGGTTTGATTTTTTATTAATAACTGGCTGTGCGCAATACTCATGAGCTTGTAATTCAGAATTCAAAAAAAGTTTGTTAGCATAGCTTGAGTAGCATAGTAGCGTATACATATATTTATATTGCTTACGTAACGCTTGTTTGGTCACCTAATAAGAAGAAAAAAATTTTTTGGTGTGCTTTTTATTGAAGGTTCCAAAAAAATCAAAGGTATTTCTCACAACTTCAAATAATTTACCCCGTAAAACTGTCCCTTGAATCGAATTTGCTCACAATTTCATGGGTTTTAATTTTTATACACGGAACACTAATTTTATCTTAAATAAAATTAGCTTAATTTATGTCATCAGCTATCAGCCCTATGAATCCCCGTTATGATAGGTGCATTACATCACAGTTTGGGGATTAGTCTGGCAAACAAACAGACAGGCAGGCAAAAAAAATTTAGGTTATTTTAGGCGATTTTAGGTTTTCAGGCTAATAATTATATGAGCTCAGAAAAAAACCTTTATTTCGAATTCACAGACTAAAACTTCAAATACTTATTTACGAGCAATAAAATATATAAACACAAATTGGTCGTTGTATGTAACAAGTTCACTACATTTTTATGACACGAGTAACAAATTAATTGATAAGACGAGACGTTGATAACGTCGCGGCTCTGTGTCAGGGGTTGGGTCCTTGTCTAATGATTTGGCATCATCGTGTTGGCATCGATGTTCTCTTCGATCTAACACGATCAAAGAGAACAGAGATTGATCGACCCCTCACGTTTATAGATCATAAAAGCGGTTTGCCTAATGGCAAGTTATAGGTAGAGCTGGAATCTGCAAGATTCCAGCTGTACCATCGGCTATTTTGTAGGTGCTTTACACATCTTTGTGAAGTCGCCATATACTTCACTGGTCAGACGAAATGCTAAATTTTAAATACTATTGCTTTAGGCCAGTCTATGAGGCTACGGTGCTTCCTTGTCCGAGGCCTAAACTCTACCAACGGCGAATCTACTACATACATCTATTATACAGCATATTACGCTAAATTTAGCTAATTTTAGCTATGGTAGGGCGACGCAGCAGCCTTGGCTATTGCATGAATGGGCAGGCTCGGGAAAGTACCACGACCTCACAGAAGATCGGCGTAAAGTGGAAGAATGACCAATACTTTTGCGTTTCGTCTGGTGAGTGTGGTAGCCGGAGCCCAATTTTCATAAGGCTGTCAACGCATCTGTAATCCTCGGGTGTAGCAGATGCCCATGGGCGGCGGTATTCACTTAACATCAGGTGATCCGCCTGCTCGCTTGTCAACTTTGTCTTGTAAAATATTGCTGTATACCCTATGATTTAGTTCTGCGTGATATATTCTTTACAAAGTTAACAAATAGTCTTTCAGGTGGGAAGGAAAAACGAATGAGACCGTATTATAATTCTAACTATATCAAGTAGCTATTATGAATAATATCGGGATACAGTGATTTATTTATCAAATTCTCCAGACAAGTTTGTAAATATTCATATATAGTCAATACTCATCTTACTAGTATGTATAATCAACGATTAATCATTTTATATATACCTACGTACATACATATATGCTAAGATAAATACACACCTTATTATACAAGTACATACTCTCATTTTAAGTGTGGAATGTTTCTGTAGCAAACTTTAGAGTAAGTTCTCATAAGCTTTCCATATAAATATGAGCGACTGTTAGCCATCGTGATTTTGAGACGTAGCATTCTGTGAATAATACTATCTATGTATGTAGAAAGAAGACTGCTTGAGAACGTTAACGGTACAGAGTTATTGAAAGTGGGCAATAGGTTGAATAGAGTTGACGTAGAATACAGAAAAGAATAAAGTGTTTTTAGTGCTCTTAATCGAAAGATTATTAGGATTACTTACTGGTTTGTAACAGTTTGTCAAACATATTTACATAGTAGCTTAGTAAACCATTTTGCTCTTAATGGTATAAAAATAAGCATCAATAGGCCTTTCTCGACGTAGTTCTTTATTTGTGTTACGTTTAAACTGCGTTTTTCTGAATTAAACTATTTTAACGAACTTTATCCTGTTCAGTTTCCATTGCAGCATACGAGGTGACGGGTTGTTTCTGGTCTTCCTGTTAGCCATTTGTTCATTCCTGTTAGCCTGTAAGACTTTCCATTAACAATGCTAATTCCATGTATTATGAGATTGATTTGTTTTGCAATCGTGGAGGTTGCACAGAGTGGGAGTTTGTCATTCGACCATCCGTCTGTCAGTGAGTGCGGTGGCGCCGCGCGTGTGCGCTAGGCAACGGCGGCTCGAAAATATAAAATACGCCGAGTGACATCAATATTGTATAAACGAGCACGGAATGCGTAATGAGGACGTGCACTTCTTGTATCACATGGAGCGCTACTCAAACTTTGTCATAGCCCACGCGGAAAACCCACACCTGTGTATATAGTGGACAGCATTTCTTTTTTTTTTACTGCTAGAAAACTCCTAAGCACAAAGGTATTAAGCGCCATTACAAATAATTTATAATTAAGTTTTTCCTTTTCGGAAGTTGGTGAAACAAAAACAAACACAGGGTTAGTTCTGATGTTACGTAACCGAGTAAGTGAAACCCGATAAACTGAAACGTCCACGTGAAATTTATGTATGTAATACGCTCCTTACAGAGGAAGATAATGTTATCCTAAAATAAGGGTAATGTTATCAAACGGAAGACTATAATAGATCTTCTAGTTCACAGTGGTTGGTAGGTTTTGCTGCTGAATCTTCCACCCAAAATACAAGCCGTTGCTAAGAGCTAGCTTACACGTACCAGCTTTAATTTAATTAAGCTAGCCTCTGTGTACAAGGACTAACAACGCCTCTAAAACAGAATATAATTAAACGGAAATACATATTTTTCTTCAATTATATTGTTTTTGCTACTAATTAATATCGAAAAATTTTTCAACCCTTGTTAGCAGGCACGTCTATCTATACGTTAAAGGTAGGTTCATCTTCGTTCATAGAGAGGTAACTTTCTATTATATTGACTTACACCACAATATTTATTGAACTATTGAAAATATATGAATTAAAAAGTAAATTTACAATGTTGGCCTGGGCGCTGAGTTACATAAGTTGGTAACAGAAAAAAACAGAGAGTGAGAAAGTAGTTAGTGTACTTACTGGTGTTAGTTACTGTTAAAAGTACATTTTTATAGGGGTTAAAAATATTGGCTGTGGAGCTATTGTCCATGACCATGCATCATTAGACGCAAGTCGCATAGCTCATGCGGCGGTGAAAGTTTGGGAGGCGCTGGGCGCGCGCTGGCACGCAGCGGAGTCGCACGCGGGCGCTCGTTACAGCCGCAGCGCGCGCCATTGTTGTCTGCCCCCGACATTGGCCCCCGACGGCCACTCGAGCACCGCACGTCCCGGCCTGTCACTTGTCGCCGGGCCGACTGTGTCCTATGTCCAGAACCCTACTTATCTGCCAAAGCGTACTTCTTACTACCAAGTCATTTACGCCCGGTTTCTGAAACAGCTGTCAAGTGTCTTTTCAAATGTTATTTGAGTTGCCAATTCACTGATCGACTTAACCGATTGATACTCACCCTGGTTTTAAATACTATAATGCTGACTAAGATGCCACATAAACTGTTTGCTGATTAAAATTTGATCATGCAAGAACTCAGCTTCACCATGCAAGGTGGATTAGAGACTGTTTTACAACAATGTGGTTTAAATAAAGGAACCATCAACTATTAACTATTTGAATGTCATAAATTATTTACAAACATTCTTTGTTTTTAGATGTTGTCTGATTCTCGACCCTGGCTGATATGCACACAAAATTTCACGAAAACCGGTCAAGCCGTTTCGGAGGAGTTCAATTACAAACACCGTGACTTGAGAATTTTATATATTAAAATATAGCAAACCATTCTCGCCATTAAGGAAAATAAAACAAACAGCTTACGTTACAGCTTATAATACAGCGTCACAAACGCATATCGTAAAAATAAATAACTTTTCATACAACTAAACAATCCTACAATTTGTATCGTTATAACATTATTGCAAGTTTGAATTCCGAGTGGGTGAAGTTTTGTCTTAACAATGCATTGTTTTAAATAATTTTAAAATTATTTTAAAAGAATGAAAAATTAATTTAAAACATTCGTAATTTAAAAAAATTCTTAAGGCATTAGGTTAAATGGAAACCTTTCCGGTGAGTAGCATTTTCCGTAAGATTATGAATAACTTAACTTTTTTGAATGACTGGTTCTTGTAACTAAAACAAGACTACGGTAAATTAAACATAAGGCTATTGGTGGATATTACAGATCATAGAGTAGGAATAACAAAAAATAGCAATGCAGAAGCAGTAATGTTGCATTAAGCGCTATCATGTTACCGGGGGCGATTGAGAAACATTTGAGGAATTACCCGCGAGTACGAGTTATACAACTTGCAATTGTAATGGGCCGTTTGCCTTAGCAATTTATTTTGCCCGCGCTACGTAAATTGTGTGCGGAAATTTGCTTGTTGTTGGCTGAAGGCGGCGTGCGTCACCTGTGCCAGTGGCCTGTCCGCTACCGTGAAACACCATTGGGGTTTACATCGCGTTATGGCTTACAAAAACGCCCAACTGTTTCTGAAGCGATTCAGCTTCTAGCAGTGTATTGCGTGTCATAGTGTAAAGGATCGCGGAGCGATTGTTAGCTCCTGTCGCCCGCTTCTTAAGTGCGGGGCACGTGATCATTTCCAATGTAGTAATGGTCGCTTATATGAGGCCGACAAAAACTGTGCAAAGTACAAACAGACCATAAACTGTTTGGCTGCAATTGTTTGTTTACATTTATTCGTAAATATTCTGTCTTTTTAGACCTTTATGTCCCGGGGTATGCCTGTAATAGGACTTTTATAACTGGCTTATTAGTGTAGTTGCTCAAGCGCAGATGAAGCCACATATCTTAGAGGAATTTATTTGTGAACATTAGCGTGCGCCTTGAAACAAGAAGTTGACTTGTGCACAACATAGTTGTCGATGATATTTAACGACGTTATTGTTCGACGACATTCGCAAGACACTTCCAATAAAAGTATTAGAGTTAAAAGTTATTTTATCACTTGAAAGAGTGAGTTTCTCGCGGTGGACAAGTTGTACGACACTGAATTATGCGGAATATATACTTTGTACATGCATATGTCGAATTAATTTAAACGAATATATTTTTTTTATTATGTTTTTGTGTTTTCTCATGACATCATGAAATCATTAGATCCGTTATTAATATTTTTTTGTGGTTTCAACTCAAAATAAAAGTTACTATCACAACAATATAGCATAGATATTTGTTTAAGTTTAAAGCAGTAAAAACACACAAATTAAAGTTGGTGAAAATTGTATTATATTAAAATGTTTCCGTATATATTACTCGGTGGCGCAGTTGCTAAGCTATTGGCTTCGGTGCTGGGGGTCGTGGGTTCGATTCCCACACGGGACAAGTATTTGTGTGATCCACAGATAACTGTATTGTGTATAAGATAATCGTTCAGGATTTGGGTGTTCCCAAGGAGGGTTGACGTCAGGCAGATCGTAAAAAACCTAGCAAAAACCACTTATAACATGATTCACATGTGGTGCCGACCCCATCTAGGTGAGATAAGAACAGGTGTATGACGATGTGTATGGTTCCGTACATGTTAAGTTATAAAAAAGATAATAATCGTAATATATTTACGAACTCGCAACCGGCAAAATTACGTCTATCACTCAGCATATGAGAGAAAAACGAATGTATTATAACTAATTTGCTCTTGTTATGAAAATTTTAACGTGAGTTCCGATCGTCCAAAGGTTTACGGCGGCGCTCAGGAGCTAGCCTGCGGCGTTTGAGCCACCTGTGTGGTCCCCAATTTGGCTGGCTGGATCGCTGGCTGGCTGCGAGGCGTTCAAAATGGCTTCCCTGAGACCTAACGGCCACAAGATTGCGGCTAATACCTCATCCCGAGCCGCATCTGCTGCAATTCGACGACGTTTTTGCTCCATTATTTTCATTATTAAATACGCGGCATAAATTATGAGCGATATCGTAAGTGGAAGCGGCCGCTATTCATCTAACCTCTTTGGTACTAAGTCAAATTCTGATACGTGGATCAGTCTACCCGTCATATCGATATCTCATAAGTTTAATTAATTTTGGCGCAATAAACAATAAAGAATAGAATATAATTTAAAAAACTAAAAAACCCGACCGTGGTTCCAGTGTGACTCTCACAGTAAATACGAATCTAACGACACCTAAAATCCATCAAGCCGTTCAGGCTGCAGAGCGTGCCAAACAATTATACATACATACATAGTCTCGAAAAAATTAATCCCCCTTCTGGCGCAGTCGGGTGAAAATAAAAATTTTCGTCTGTATTTAAAGTTGTAGTTAAGTAAAGTAGTTTTAGGTTAGATATTTCGTTCTATATACTAAGAATATAGAATCTATCTACCAAGATTATACAAAACAGGACAGTCCATTTTCAGTTCAATAAATTTTTACGTTAAAGATATTTGAGGCGTATAAAAAACGATTTGAATGTTTCGTTGCGAATAATCCGATCGCATCCTCTTGTTGATGCGGCCCGTTTTCATTTCTTAAACGTCTCGGCGGCCATGAGCCGGAGGGGAAAAACCGAAATAATGAAATTAAACAATTATACAAGGCTGACGACGATCGGCGACACGTTCTCACGATAACGCTCGTATCTGCGCCGATTTGGACGCGACAAAATCTCAAATCCATTAAAATTTATCCCCCTAACGAATCCCGGGCGTAATGGCGGCGATAAAGAAATCATCGAGGAATGGACGTCGCGTATCCATTCCGGACGTGATCCGCGCCCGCTAGGACCGTGCCTGGGGCCATGGCGGCCGACGGCTCGGTGCTGGGGCGAGGGACGCGCCGGCCCAAAATCGACTGTGTCCGCGCGTCGTTTAGGACCAAAGCCGTGTACGGTTCAGGAGATGCAGACGAGTTCGAGTTTTTCTGGGCGCGAAGTCAGTTCGGCCGTAGCAGGTCCCGTTCGGCGCAAGCCCATTTCGCCCTCACTACACGACACCTACTCGACTTGAGGCTGCTTTTTTTATAGATACTCGGTACTAAACGGTGAATTAGTTCTATTAACTTTTTAACAATATTGTTGCAACAAAAGCTTTCTCTCGCTTCACTCATAACACAACTCTAGTTTATCAAAAATATCTTTGTGATACTTCAGTTGATGGCATCATAGGATGATTTCGCAATTATGTGGCACAGATGTCGTGCCCGGGTCGTGGTCGTGTAGTGTCCGTTCCGCGGCCGTGCATTGCGAGAGCGAGTGGGTCCGTGCAGCGCACCAACAGTGGCTCGTTGGCATTCCGCGGCCGCAGGCATCGCGCGCAAAAAAGACAATGACTCGTATTTTATACAGCCCTAAACGTTCCATCAACGTATCGATACGACTCGACTGTCCTGTCCTTAAATGATGAGCCGATTCTGTTTTTGAAGGATTTCGTCGCTCCCGCTGTCCCGCTACTTTTTATGCGGCAGCCCTGCTGTTGTTGCGAAATGCGAGCTTTGCGAGGACTCTAAACCATGAGATATAGCGCCGAGCACCGAGCACTATGCCCACGCCATTTACGCCTCTGTACGCCAAACAACAGGTGTGATTTTCGAATGTGATTCCGTTTACCCCGAGGGGCATAAAAACTGTAACTTACGAATTTCGTTCTCGATCATAACGTTTTATGTGCGATGCGTAGCTTATTGACGCTCCTCTTCACGCAAGCGTTTTGTGTCCTCAGTATTTTAATGTCATTAGTTGAAAAGTTAGCTTGTATTTTAATTTTTATTACTTCGTATAGGCAATGTTGCCTTTTGTTAATTGTTTCTGTATAAGTGTAAGATCGGAATACTTTGATGATAGTGAAATCTGGATTTCCCTGCGGAAGACTGTTCACAGGGCTTCTTCTACGAGACTTGTTGATGCCGTGGCGTCCCACGCTGCATTTCCTGCTACGTGCACCGTTCTCAGCGTGCGTGCGATTTGCATTCTGCGGGGGAACTGCTCGTGCAGACCAAACTCACGCATGTTTTATTTATTAAGAGTTCTTTCACTAAGTTTCTCCTATTAGACAACTCTCTTCGACTACCGGGAATTGATAGCTCTTGTACCGGGAATGAGGGCTTCGGCCCTTTTTTTAATCTGCAAGCTTACCGAGCGACCGCTAAATGCGTCAAATTCGCACTTCTCTAGTGGTTAGATAAAGGGACTCTGACAAAAGAGCTTGAAGGTAATCGTTCAAGTTTTAAAACTTCGTACATGCTTATCAGTATGCGGGACGCTTACGTTGTTTGGCAATTGATTGGAATGGCTGAGTGTCAGTTTGAACTAATGTTCGACAAGTAGGAGTCGACGTGCAGCCGGCATTTGTGGTACGTTACAGTACTGTAAAGCCTTGTGTAAAACATTGCGATATCACAGTAAGTAAACATATCTTATTTTTAGCCAAGTGTTTTTTTACATCTATACAATAATATTATGAATTATTAAAATCGTAAAATTTGCTCAGATATTAACGTCCTGTAAAAACGACTAATAGATTACTATTATTTAAGAAAAATTCATATAACCCAGAAAATCAGATGGCTTCGAATTAAATAAAGCTATTGCATAACAGTCAAGTAATTTAACAGCACTGAGATGTTTGCTTCCCTTGAACCTTATCGATATGGACGACGTTGGCGGTATGGATGGCAATTGGCGCGGTCCAACCTTGAATCCCTCGTGCATAAATTATTCTATAATAAAAAATCTATTTAGCATCCATAGCCAGTGAGTATTTGGCGTGCATTCGGGTGCCACTCGTCCGAGGCGCCTCGCGTACCGTTACCTTTATAGCGGCCGGTAGGAATCCTTGCGCCGCGCGCGGACTGCTAATGTCCTCCTCACAGGCCCTCGCGGCGTGTGCATCTCTGCCAAACAACACCGTCGCCGAATATACAGGAACCGTTTTGTTCTTATCATGGTTGTAAAGAAGGCCGGCGGAATGTTTTTATTGGGAGCGTACGCGTCTTTGCACCGTTTTACGATAAAATCGGTGTGCAAGATAATTCACGTTTATAATCGCAGGATTTCTATTCTACAGCGACCTCGGAATTTTCATCGATATGCTCTGAAACTTTATTATTAAAAAATGTCTAGGAGTGACTTTTTCTCTTACGTCATTTGCAACACTAAGTGCGTTGATGGCCTTATAGGTCATCTTCTTGAACACAGTGTTCATAATGATGTTAGCTGTGAACATAATTGAATGTCACTGGATATCGTATCGATATTGAACATCTTGTTCAAAACAAAAACACTTTTCGGTAGGAAGTTACATAACACAAGGATCCGAAATTATTATTTTGCATAAAAATGTTATTTATGAGAAGAAAATTAAGGTTCAGTAAAGAAGACCCGTATAAAGGAAAAAAATGTTATTGTTTTGTTGCCTATATTTATTTGGTGAAGTGATCCTTGATTTTTAGGCAATCAGGATTTTAGGGATATCAGTCGGGGTGTCATAGATTTGATTAACGCCAAAAACACATTAAGGTGTGTATATGTTTTAGCTTAAGTATCACCTGTACAATAATTTACTAGGTGTATTATTTTAAGTCAACATAGTGATACATTTTGCACGTATGGATAAAGTTGCTTTAATTATATTTCGACAAAAAGTTAGGACGAAATGCTGACATTTATGTCAAAGAACGACTTAGTCCATCAGAATAATTAACTGTCATAAGATTTTTAGGCTTTACTAAAGTGTGTAAGTTTTTAGGGTGTTTAAAAGCTTATAAACTATATGTATTGCACTTGCTGTTCGGTATCAAAGCTCGTCAGTATGACTACCGAGTCATTACGTTGACGATATTCCGATGAATATCGTCAACGTAATCGTGGAACTGATTTGGGCGTGCATTTTGCTTGGATGCTTTCCGTCTCTATGCAATAAACACTCCGTCGCGTACATTCGCCCAATGGCGGTGCGCAGGTGCCGTCGAGACGGGTAATTGCTTCGCGATACGTCGTTCCTCGCATTTCTGAATTTGTAATTTTCTATAAAAGAAACGGGACACATTTCGAGAGCCATGTGCGCCCCGCGGAAACTAGTTGATGACTGTTACAAGCTGTTTGTTTACTCTCATTAACAAAGGCTGTTACGAACCCGTTTATTCATTTTTCTTACCTTACTTTTGCTGTCTATTGAATTTAATTCGTTCACATTATTGAATGTCACTCAAATATGTTTCGATCTGTATAATTTTTTAAAGTTTTTAACATGTCACAAGAGTAACGGTAAAGCCTGCAAAATGTGACTTACATTTGTACTGAATGGGCTGGCGATCCCGGGTAATTACCACCGTTTCACAGAAGTTAGGTTTATTGAGGGAGACAAATGAGGCCTACCCCGAAAGACGGTCAACACTTAAATAAATTTCATCACTTATTATTGATTTGCTTATTACACGGAAATTGCTGCATCACTTTCATATTAAGATAGGAGACAATAATTTTTTTTCTGAGAATTCTAATGAAGTTATAGAAATATAAGACTTAAGTGATTATAAATTTGTGTATAAAATCTAGCTAGTTCGTCTTAGCAATAGTCAGCAATATAGCTAGCGTATAGTCAGCAATCTAAGTGAAGTCACTTTAAGGGTGGTAGGGCCACGCAGCAGCCTCGGCTGTTGCACGAATGGGCAGGCTCGTCCGGGTAAGTACCACGACCTCACAGAAGACCGAAGTAAAGTGGAAGTATAATACTTTCGAGTTTCGTCTGGTTAGTGAGGTGGCCGGATCCCAATTTTCAAAAGGTTGTCAACGCATCTGGAACCCTCGGGTGTGGCAGATGTCCATGGGCGGCGGTATTCACTTAACATCAGGTGAACAGTCTGCTCGTTTGACAATTTTTCACATAAAATAAATACACGAATTGAACATTGACATTCAGACCTGTACCGAATGTGAGGCAGTAATATCGGGAATTGAAACCACAACAGATGTTGCCGAAGTTAGGCATTAAGTACTTTCAAACTATTGTTAAATACAACGCCACAACTCTCCAGTGTATGCACGGAGCAAAGAATAAAGCCGTTGAACCGACGAAGACGGCAGGCACTCCAGCGGCCTCACTGGTACTTAGCTCACGTTGCACGGACGTGTGCGCGCCCAAATGAATCGTAACGCATCTAATTGTCAGATCGAGATAGTCAGACATAGGAAGATGGTCGCGGCAGCGACGAGGCGTTGCATTGTGTTACTTATATATGTCGCGGGTTCCATTATACATTTCAACGTTGAAGTTTGTAACAAATCGAGAGCCACAATTGCGGCCCTCGGTCGTTTCCATAGGGGTCGACAAACTGGCCAATGATTTCATGCGCTTTGACTTTACAATTCTCGTCAGTTTATCATTGCTCAATGATACATATTTTGTTACATCTCGAATGTCATATGGATGGGTTTATACGGAAAGGCGTTAGCTTTAAATTTTTTTTATCTTCCACATTTTTAAATCTTTCTTTGTAATACCTAGTAGTTACTGCAAAAGTATCCATCAATAATTAAAAAAAAACCTTGTATAACCGGTCTAAGTAAAGAACACTTTATAATTTCAGGTTCAAGAAATAATAGATCTTCTATTTTATAAGCAAATATTAAAGACGAATTAACTCCACTCGCATTTTTGCCTCGTTTTTTCTGAACTCGCTTTCTTCTCTGTACACTGGTGTTTTGGGATCTAATGTCATAGACCGGGCCACCATTAAACCTTTAATTATGTACTTTCTCGGATCTTCCATCATCGTTAATTAATGAATTTTCTCAAAATTATGTGCTGATTGTTAAATATAATTTGTTTTAACGACAGACATCTTGCAAAAGCATAGGGGCAATGCTTATGATGATTATATTATACAAATATAAGATTTATTTATGTCTTTCGTTGTTGATGACATTATTGAAATATATGTATTCATAGAATATGTTAGTTTAAAAGAAAAATCTAGACTACAAACTGAAACAGGTAGTGCTATGGAAGTGGCTATGAAAAATCATTTGTCCACTTGATATATTTATATACCGTTATTATTTTTATATATCTTATTCAAAACACCCAGATGCGAAACAATTGTATGTGGGTCACATAAATAGTTGTCTCGTGTCGGAATCGAATCCACAACCCCTGACGCCGAAGCCGATACCTTGGCAACTGCGCCACGGAGTCATCAAATTATTGATGTTTTAGTTACTAATTTTAAAACGTCTTATGCCAAACAACTTTGAAATAATAATATAAGAATTAAGCAAGTAAAGATGCAAACTATAAGTGGTTCTCCACAATCGGTGTTATATAAATTTAAATTTTTGAGGTAAAAAGGATGAACTACTAATTTTTAACTGCCTTATAAAGGAGTTTTTAATGATTAAAAAGCTTTTGCGCGAGGGTCGGACGGTTGTGGGGTTGTTGTTGGGTGATTGTTGGGCGGTTGTTGGGCGATTGTTGGGCGGTTGTTGGGCGGTTTTAGGGCGATTGTTGGCGGTTGTTGGGCGGTTGGCGGACGGTTAGGGGCGTGCGGCGGGCGGGCGACACGCGGCGCACCGTTAATCAATCGCGGAGCGTGGGACGGAGCCGCGTGCGCAGGCGGACGTGCCGGCCGAGCAGCGCCGCCGCGCATTCACAACCGCCGCTGTGGGAAAGGCTCCGTTTCGAGGTACCAACTGTTGTTCGGTCCCGCTGTCCGACTCCCGGCGAACGTTCGCTCTTCGTGACCACACTCGCCCGCGAGCGGAGCGGCAGGCGCGAAATACGAAACAATGGCGCTTTACAATACAATGAGCGCGATCTGAAATGCGTAGCGTCGGCGACATTCCCGTCACGAGCGCGCGCTTGCCTTTTTCGACTGTTCGCTCGGGGCGGGTGCCGATCGCGGGCCGACCTCTCTCCTTATTAATAACGTGGCTTGAATTGGAAATACCGCTCCCGCGATGACAAAGTCGCGGCGTCTAGATTTTTCTTTGCACCCACGTATCGTTAGATCTCTCCTAGTAGGGGAATCTGGCGGCGAATCGGCGCGCAGCGTCCCTTGGCATTCACGGCGCCTCCGCGACGCATCTCGGGCATATTAGATGCGGTCGTGATCGGCGAACGCACCGGCGCCGCACTAATTGCCGATCGCAATTCAGCGTGACGAGCCGGAGACACGACCTCGGCCGTGGATCGCACATCGTAGCCTAATTGTCGCGGTCGCGCCGCCTTTGCATACATTACAATGGAAATCAACCATTCAGCCGATGTCTTGGTGCGCTCCGCCAAGACTCGCTGCGCCGTCTCGCTTCGCCAAAAGGGGCTCTAGCTCCCCACCGCTGGGTCCCGTTTAGTGCTCGACGCGTCCGCGGCGCTTCGGACCTCTTGGGCCGCAGCGTCACAGGCGAGAGCCTACAAGTGGATTAGCAAATTGTTTAATTAGTGTGTCGGTCACTTGGAACCGCGTTCTAATAGGAACCGAATGCTAATGTCCATTCGGGCGGTGGGGCGTGCGACTGCCGATCTCTCACCTCGTTGGCGACGCTCCCCGCGTGTTACCCGATACGTATGGCGATCTCGTCGCGCGATCGACGCTGATCCTCTTTATGGCCGTTTATAGCTGGCGACGCACACTTTTTACTATGTTGCATTTCGTGGGTGCCATGTTTATTGTGACGAAAACAACCTCACATCGAGTTTGGTTGGACGAACAAAACCATATAGCAGATATCTAAAGCTGAGTACTTTTATTTCAAGAGAAAATAATGCATTGATTACATTATTTTGTTATTATTTACTTAAGTATAATTAATATTTTTTGTACTTAAATATCTCATCGAAGTATGTCTTTCGAATTCTCACCAGATAGACGGGCTTCTATACTATGCTCACCGGCTGGAAAGTTTTGCAATAAAATAAAATAATCCAGTATATCATAATAAAATAATAAAGAAGTCATTAAGCCGATTTTTGACCCGATTTTGGTATAGGTATGTCGCACCATTCTTCCACTAACGCATGTTTCAACTCCTGAAAGGTGGAGCTGCTAGAGTGCATTGAAAGAAAGAAAGAAAGAAAGAAAGAAAAGTTTATTTGGTACATAAATAAATCGTTTACAAAAAATTATTTACAATAAAAGAAATACAATGTACATGCACCAAATAGGTTTCCACTCAGCATGAGTTCACGGAGATAGTAAACTTCGTGAATGCTGGTTTTCAGTGGAACCATAGGAGGATGATAGATGGCGTAACAAAACAGTGATTAATATGTAGCCTCATATAACAAACACAAAAAGCCTAATATAGCAAAAACAGAAAGCAAAATAAAACAAAATTAAAAAAATCTGAATAAATCTGAATTACAAAAACGAAAGAAAAAATACAATAAGACAATAGAATTGGTTACAAATACATGCTTGAGCTGTATGTAAATATTAGTGAGTTATTTGTGGTCACTACAGTTATGCCTTAATTGTGCTTGTTTATTCTTCCAATTATACGGAAAACTTAAGTGCTGGACTTTTGTGTTGAAAGGAGATACTTTTTTAAGTTGTTTTTAAAAGACTTAGCAGATGTTGAGTTCCTGATTGGTGGAGGGAGGTCATTCCAGCACTTAGTAGCAGCAAATCGGAAACTACCACGGAAAGCAGCTGTACGATACCGGGACAAATGAGCCGCGACGTTGATCTAACACAACGATATGAAAATGTTAGCTTTTCGAATAAATACGAAGGTTCTTTGTTCCGTATAACCCCAAAAAGCAATGTGGCGAGATGAAGTGTACGTCGAGTGGTCATATTCATCAAGTCGTGCCGGTTAAGAACACATCTCCCAGGCTCATCTCATATATAATTTCTATGGGATATAAGTCAGCTGGCAGGTAATACGAATACCATCATCTTGAACATACCCATTGAAAGATGATGATCCAGTACCCATTATGGTGCGTAAAATGGAATTTTCTCCCGTATTCACTGAGAAAGGACCAGCATGCTCATTTAAAGTCTACTCTGCGTGTCTAAGACCCACCACAGTTTCACGTACCGTACGGGTCTCCATAGATATTTCCGCCTACATCGTCCATGTTCTCTTGGTCTCCCATCATGTATAAATAAAATTTGGATTCATTGGAAATCTGGTAATCCAAAACATTGTTTACCCAATAAAGCGAAAAAAAATTTCTTGTTTTACTTTTTTCTTATCTTTCAAAATTCTGAAATTAATTTTTTTAGCTAAAGTCTGATCTGAAAAGAGAGCTCACATGTCTTGTACACATTTATAACTTTCTCTTTACAGATTTATAATAAGCAATACTAATCTATATAACGTATTGTATATAGGTACTAAGCATCTATTAAAACTACTTTGGGAGGTTTTGTTTAGATATTGCGATTTTTTTAAGTGGCCAGTTATTGTTCTGTCCCGTGTAGTGATTACTATGAAGTAAAATCAATAACATCAATTAAAGTTCGAATTATAAGAAAAAAATTTTTTAATAGATACATGTTGTCTACGTTTGTTGGATTTATACTTTCATCATTTCAGCATGTTTGAGTCCACTGCTGAACATAGGCCTCCCCCACGAAGCACGATCCCGAGCCACCTACATCGACTTCCTGCACATGTATACTTTATGGATACTTTTATTGGTACAATTTAGTGACACAGAGTTAAAAGCTAAAACATTATTTTGAATATAGTTGTAAATTGGAAAACTTGCCTATACATACTCACAGATGGCATCTGAAAGTAACATAATAGCGATTACGAATATGTATCCCCATCTAATAAGCGGTCCAAATGATGAAATTTTAAGTATAGAAGTGGCCCGAATTGGTTAGTTATTACTAGTAACTGGTCTAATTAGAGAGAGTTTAAAATTGTAAGGTCATCGGAAAAATGTTGCGGGCTCAAATTTATCCTAGAAATCAGCTTAAATTAACAGCTTTTTCTGTTAGTACCTCAAAATTACTATTTTCAGAAAAAGATAAATTACATTACGTTTATTTTTGTAAATAACATTGACTAATTTTCAAAATTAACTGACCATGTCTCTAGGATTAATTTCAGCCAGCAATATTTTGGCGATGACCTTAGAATTTTAATCTCCCTGTTATTAGTATCAAAGTATTGACCAATAAATTGCTGAAAATTCTGACTATTTATGACCATTTCTGAATACTTTAAGAGTTCAAATTTCATCATCTTTACCTTCTTATCTTATTGCACACATCACATTTGGTCCATCTAGAAACAATCTTAGGAAACACCTTTATATCCATTAGAATACATTCATACATCGGACAGAACTGTCCAGAAAACATGTACGTTAATGCATGTTGAGGTTAATATCTTTGCATTTATTTTATTTTCAAGTTATGTTATTGTTTGTTTTTCAATAGAGTTTTAAAAACTTTCAAGTGCATATCATACCGTGCAACCTTGCCTAAACGGAACAAATCTGAGACGCAATATCCGCCTCAGTGCGCGGAATTTTTAATTCCTTGCACGATAATAAAACTGCGTTCCGCACGTGAAATATCTAAAAATAAGTACTAATTATTTAACGATTAAAAAAATGTCATCCAAATAACAAAGACTTCTTAATACCTTTTAGATGATTCGAGGGAACTAACTTACATAATAATCAATAAAGCCTATCACGGCATTTGTTTGGTTAGTTTGTTAAAATCTTTTCAATCTGCTTTACGATGAGATAATCCTACCAGATCCGTTTCCATTCCTCCTCATGTCTCATGTTTTAGAATTTGTATATATAAAAATATAAATAAAGGCGGAGGTTTTCTTTGCTTCGGGGTAGTGTGGGAGCGTCAGAAAGTGCGCACGTCACGCGCTCAGCCCTTATCTAGGCCGGCACCGGAAATGTGATTTTTACGTCTTGGGGACGTGGTCGGGCGACGTGCGCCGACTCCAGATGTCAGCACTTTGTTTATTTTTTTAGGTTGCCAGCACCGCGCCGTAGGCCGCGGATGCTAAACGAAAGTGAAAAACCGAGCTGGACCGTTCGAATCACGCCTGACGAGTCGAGGGGTATATACGTACCTTGACTTCATCTTGCTGACCTTACTTTGCAGACTCAAATCATTAGCTAGGAAAATCCTTGACTTTGAAACTACCTGCTGCGCCCTGAGATAAATTTTAGTCATCATTGTTCAAAATTTTAATTTATAAAATTTTTCCAAAAACTCTTCATATGGAAACGGAATTCTTACTTTTTACCCAAAGAGTTTAGATGATTAACGCACTAGCCCAGAAATATTCGTTTAATATTGAAGAATATAACTTTAATAATTTAATTTTAATTATATTATGGGCGTCGACTCTATCGTTAATTCCCGTGTGATTTCTTTTCAAGGATTCATTCTTTGATATTTCTGCCATGACCGTTTCATCATCGAGAATATCTTTAAACAATACTTTAATATTTCATGACATTGTTATCAGTTTAATTTTCTTGAAAGACAATACTGAAGAAAGAACTAATAACGTAAAACCTATAGTGTGAAGGTACTCTATGACATTGGAATGTTTTACAGCTACGAGTTGGTGAAATAGACAAGAAGTGTCATTAAAGTCATCAAAAGTCATAATTTAGGTAACAAGTATCGCTGATGCTGCATTTGTTAATGCTATTCAGGAAGATAATAGACAATTTCTGAAGCTATTAGCTTCGATGTTATTATTTAGTTTCGCTTCTCACGGAATGAACAGTGAAGGTGAGGTCACGTAGCGAGCGCATCCGGCGACGGGGATTTCTTGCTTTTTACTTTATTCGTTTGGTTTCCGTCAACAGTACCTATGTTGAGTCCTACTTATTTACAACGCACAACTAATGTTTAAAAAAGTACGAGTAGAACTTGTACTAAAACTTAATATTGCTACACAAGAATACAAATTCTACCGAAGTAATTAAAGATCTTTCAAAGTACAAATTGCGGGCTTGAAAGTATTGACCAGCTTTAATTATGTTTAAACGAAAACTGGTGTTAATTTATAATTGAGTCAAATTTTTTAATCTAATATTTACAAGATTTAATGTGTCTAAAATTACATATTATCTATTAAACCTAATCCACGCGCCATCGTGCCAAGAATGCTGCATTTCCTCGCTGAATAGTAATGCTGTATTTTTTCAATTAATCACCAATTGTAAATGTAAAACACAACTTTTCATACTTCACTCTAGGTAAGAAGTTGCGTCATACAAAATAGCGTTTTGAGTGGCAATATACTCAACGTATTTAAAATATTTAAAATTGTGTTGTTATAATTTAATTAATACAGAGACATAGATGCTTTGGAGAAATTTAGCTTTTTTTTTTTAATTTACTATTAGACATTTATAAATTTAAAAGAAACGTTATTTTTTTTTTATTTTCTATATCTCTTTTTATGGGAAAAGTTGTAAAGCGAACATGCGGTTCACCTGATGTTAAGTAATTACCGCCTCTTATGGACATTTACATCAACTGTTATGTTATAAAACAAAAAAAATAGGTGTATAAAAAACCAAAGGAAATTAATTAGGACAAGTCCAATTATTTCCATTTGACTAAATACTATGTAATGCATATGATTGTCATTTATGCTATGTTTGAAAAAAAGTGACTTCGATATAAATTTTCTCT